GTGTGTGTGTGTGTGTGTGTGTGCTTCACAAACATTCTTTCTCCGTAGCGTCCGTCTGACCGCCGGCCGGCCTCACACGCCGAATACTCACACACACACACACACACACACACACACACACACACACACACACACACACACACACACACACACACACACACACACACATACAATAATATGCACTCACGCAGTTATGGAGCCATAACCTCGGAAGTCAATAGCTGCAGACACAGCCACCACCAGCCCAGGAACGGAGTAGCCAATGAGGTAAAAGTACTTCCTCCTTGAGTTGCGTCCCTCGAACACCTCCCGCTGCAGGAGGTACAGCTCCACCCCCTCCAGACACAGCCAGCAAAACACTGCCAGCAGCGAGAAGTGCAGCAGGCCAGCAGTGATGGAGCACACGACCTGAAAACGAGAATTGAGGGATGAGGAAATCCGCTCGACGTTTGTTCCTGTTTTATTACCATTTAAAGCGACTTAAAAAGCCAGTTCAGTATGAAGGCACTAACAGTGTACTTAGTCTTGTTGGCGCCGATAAGGAAGAGAAGTTCTGTGATGAGCAGATTGGCCCACAGGTTGCAGTGGATGGTGCTGTGGTCTGTGTGCCAAGGCGCCCCCTGGCAGCAGAGTGTGATAAGGCAGGTGGCCAGACACACCAGTGCAACCGATATACCAACCCAGGAAACTACATAGACCAAGAACTCCTCCACACCAGCCCCGAACTGAAAAAACAAAACACAGCGTTATATGTTTTTGAAGAAAAAGTTATATATTTTAAAGAGGAAAGGGTGGAGTTGAGTCTTAACACCTTTAAAAATGAACGTTTTTGGTTGTCGAGAGAGAAATTAGATTTTCGAGGTAAAGTTTGACATGTGGCCACCCAAGACCATAGCACTTACAGTTTGTATTATAAGCCCTCCGAGCTCTTATCTGATCAAACAAACAAACAAAACTCTACAATGTGCCGCAAAAGTGCGGCTGACGAGTACAATGTCAATACTGGCTCGATATTTGTCAAATTAAACACACTGAACGCTCGATGCTGCCTCAGATCAAATACAGATAACAAATTTATGGCAACGGACTCGTATGGCATGAAAAGACAGTGGCAGTCTGGCAAATGTTGATGTCTGCTTTGAAATTGAATCAAGCGCTCTCACGTATTGACGTTCGATGTGAGTGACTTACGGAGGGCTGCTGGTACGTCATGAGGACAGCATAACTGGACAGATGGTTGCAGGCGCAAGTGGTGTGCGTGTTGTTGGTGTGTAACAGACGGCAGCCCTGTGTGGACCACCTGCCACTCCCAGAAACTCCTGATGCGTTCCAGAAAGAGCAGTTAGGACCAAAGTGATTCTCCAGCTGCAGATGAGAGAACAGAAATGAGCGACAGCAACACCCCCAGAAGGACTCAGTTTTCTATCTGTGTATATATCGACTGAATATTTATTGGATTCGGTGGATTTAAAACAGACCTGAAGGTGTCTGAGAGTGAAAATCACTGGTTCGGTCAGGTACACTCTGTTGGATCCTCTGTGCACAGAGGCGGAGATGACGTGAGAGTTGACCACGAGGCTCTTGCGTCTGGCCTCTGAACCCTGGCTTAACCCAAGACCCAGGCGGAGGGTCGAGTTTTGGGTGGTCAGGAAGGAGCCCAAGTTTTTATAGAGGGTAAGAACCAACTTCACCTGGCCTGTGGAGCAAAAAACAGATTTAAGCAGATATTTATCCATATTTAGATAAGCGATATGTGAAGATTGACATAAGTACATACTATGTAGAGATTAAGTTGTCGGAAAATTGTTTTTAGTGTGACACTGACCGTTGTTGCTATACTGTTGCAGAGCCAGTGCTGATATCTGCAGGATGCTGTCGCTGTCGTAGGAATGAGGAAAGGTCAAGTCCTGGATGTCCGCTTCTGTATTGAGTACATACACCTCCAGATCTGCGCATGACCAGAAACAGAGTGGCAATGAGTTCCTTGCAATGTGTGGGGGGGAAAAAAAACACTCCCAAATAAAGAGAACGAAACCTCTCACCAATGTTGGGTGCCCTGTCGCTGAATCGGCCCTCGTAGAGATTGTTAGCTAACAGAAATGCTCCTTTCTCCACCGCGTCCAGAAGCAGCGATGCAGAGCGTGACTGGTCAACACCGCTCATATCAGCCCAGGACACCAAAGCTTCAGGACCCAGCAGGTTATCAACCGTCTGGACAACCGCCTGACAAAGACAGCGAGAGACAGAGAGCGTCATTATTATTCTGCCCGTCTGTCTGTCTATCCGTGTATCTATCCGTGTATTCGTCTTACCTGAACATAAGCTTTACACGTCTTCTCTCTCTTTTGTAACTGAAAAAAGGAGAACATTTTTTCTATTTTTAGCCTGGTTCCTGTCATCATCGCGGACGTCTCTGCTCTCATTTCCAGAGAAGTTGGGAACACATCCACACCAACAAACGAGTTACCTTGTTGTAATTACGTGCCGCCGATTCTTTGTTAGCTGGTCTCAAGGCCTGCAGCTGGGAGTCCAGTATGTCCAGCAGCTGCTCAATGAGCTTGACGGACATGCTGACGTCACCGGCATAGATCCGCCCCCGAGTCAGGTTGACCAGCTCCCCGGCGATGTTGGCCGCGTTCTCTCCACTCTTAATCTGGAGTGAGGCAGGGGTGTGTGGAATGTCAAATGTTTTGACATTTAAGAGAGAGCTGCTCGCCGGCTGGCTTCGGGGCATTTACGCAGCATGTGTTTGTGTTTCTGTCGTCGTGCGTGCGTCGGACTGACCTTCTGTGCGATTTGGCTGACCCAGGGAGAGGTGCAGTTGGAAAGGTCAGGTCCTCTGGAGTTCCAGCCAACTGGAGACGACATGCATTGATAGGAGGCGATACCTGCAGAGACAGAAAGAAGGACACAGGAAACGTCAGAAAGAGAAACAACAGCTTGTGTATTAAAAGACTCCTTGTAAAAATTTTAATGTTTCCTTTTTTTTTCTTTCTGCCAATACCTGCAGAAAAAGTAATTCAGTTACTGACTGTAATAGTATGTATAAGATGGATTTTAAATCCAATTCAGTTACAATTTAAGTTTTTACAATGATGCAATTTGTTTTTTTTACAAGTGCAATAAGATGGTTATTTGCTGTAAGTGTGAATTTACTTAACTGCCGTTACCATTGGTATAGGAAATTGAAAAATAGTGAAAATAGGACTAAAATGTGAGTCACACTCAGTTTCTCCAAATTAGGTTTAAGAATAAGACAACAGGCATACCATAAACATGGTATAGTAAACAAAAAAAAACCTTTTCAGTGTAATCATCACTTTTGCGCTAAACCCATTTCAAATTGATTTGACATGATTAGCAAGATGCAGAGCGCATCACAGGATTATCTAGATAATCTGCGGGAGAGCTTCTCTTCAGAGGGAGGCTGGGCTGAGGAAAACAGCTGCACAGCGAGAGGAAAAAGCGCAGAGGGCTTCGTCTCCACACACTATGTGGGTTACAGCGTGTGTTCCCGTCTTCCTCTGTCTCATCGGAGTTCAAAGAGAGGACATCTGACTACATTTCAAAGGGAAACAAGATACACACACACATGCTGGCGTGCTCAGTCGTGCACAGGCTGACGCCGCACCCACCCAGAGATCCTTTCGGACAGGGCCTCTCCACCGTTTCTCCCTTCAAGGTTGGGGGCCACTGGACGCCTCGTGACACCCGGGCCTCGCATCCGCCCACCTGACCGGGCCCTCCAGGGGCTATCGGGACACGCAGAGGGGGGCGTGGGGTCAGTGGGACCATAGCTGTGATTGGCCCCTTGTCAAAGGGGCCCCTGTTGATGACGCCGATTGGGTGTGAGGCCGACGGTTGCACCGGGGTCAAAGCAACCGTCGCCGTGTAGGACCGGACTGTTGTCATCAGTGATGAGAGGGGCCCTGGAGGGGGGACAACCGCATTAGCTCACATTATCTTTAGCATTTTTTCCCATCCAGCCACGACGGAGACCGTTTCTCAGACCTTTAGTGGGCGGCGGGGGTGTGAACTGCAGAGGGTATCTAAGGACGTAGTGGTTGTTCCACACGTATAGCTGGTTGTCTCTGGGGTTGTAGTCTATCGAGGATATATACTGGTACGGGTTGGGGAACGGTATCTGGATGGGCAGCTCCTGCCCGCGGCTGGTGTCGTAGGCGTAAACCACCATGTTGCTGCTGGCCCGGCTATCTGCCTGCCCCTCGTCGTCCTGGAAAACCGAGCGCACGGCGTACAGCACGCCGCAGGCCATGAAGGCATTGCTGGCCCCGCGTTTGTCAAATCCCGTGGCCCACGTGCCCTCAAAGCGCAGGGTGTACGGGTTCACCTGCAAAAAGGAAGAGACGAGCAGATAAAAAAAAAATTGCCTAAACCCTCTTTCCTGGCTTGTTGCCCTGCTACAATCCGGTCCCTTATTTGTTCCGGTTCCGCCTACCTGGCTGACCACGATGCGTCCATTATTGGCTTCGGTAGAATAAATAACCCAGAGGCCATTCTCGTCCACTGCCAGATCAATGTCCGACTTCCCTCCCCAGCGGTAAGGTGAGGTGTCATGGTAGTTGGCGTTGACCACCACCGCCTCGCCGCTCTTGATGCGTGTGCGCAGGTCGAACTTGACCAGGTTGCGTGTTCGCTCCTTATTGTAAAAAACAGCACCATCGTACACCACGAAGCCCGTGCCATCCACACGGCTAGGTAACCTAGAACACACAATCATATCCCCAGTTAGAGTCTGTCTCCTACTATCAGCTTCTTTGGTTATTTAAAATTTCAACGGTCTCCAAGTCATCAAAGCCTGAAGGTTAGTCTAGTACACCTCAGTGGAATCACTTAGAAACCTGTTACTGATCACCCGAGGTAACAAAAAGGCTTTTGTGTAGATCAGAATCATAAATTGGGCCTTCATTTTACGCCAGAGAGATGATTAATTCTCCCTGAAAAGTAAGCTACCATCAAGGGAGCTAGTATTGAAATGCATGGCTTAATCTGACATAACTTTAGCATTTAGTGCAAAATATGATGTGTCTATCACTATATAATGTATATAAATCAATCTAAATATGGTAATAACATTTTATTTTTCCATCATCTGCTCTGAAAAACTAATTCCATATTCAAAATCCCACAAAAAATAACTAATAGATGAACTAAATATAAAGACTCACTTATAGGAAGTGGTAGGGTGAGCTTGACGGAAGTCATCCCAAGAGGCGTACTCAATCAGCGCTTCTGTTCTATAAGGTGTCCACGGCATGACGTACAGCCTGTCACCAGCTTGTAGGGGGTCCTTACACCAGGCCCCCGACTGATGATCTGTCTCCAGGTACGAGGAGGCTGGCTGGATGCTGAGCAGTGAGCCAGGACACACGAAGACTGGAATATAGGTGTTCGGGAGGGCAGAAAGCAGGATGTGAGAAAGAAAAGACAGGAGGGGAGAACAAAAGTGCAGGAAGCGAAGTGAAAAAGGGAGTGGAAGGGAAGTGGAGACAGATGTGGGGAGAAAATGGATCAGTGCATGAAAAATGGATTGAATTAGATGCGGTCGATGCAGTGAGATTTAGAAAAAAAGAATGAGGAGAAAGAGAGAGAGGGATTTAAAACACCTTTCCTGATCTGAGGCAAGCAACAGAAGAGACGAATAAGTGTTGAAAATCACACACTGTTAGCGTGTGTGTGGTGAGTAATACAACAGGGACACTGCAATGAAAGGTGTGTGAGCGTATTTATGTACTTTGTGGGTGTAGTTGATGTGCATATGTGTGTGTATGCGGGTTAGTGCAAAAAGAGTGAAGAAGAGTGTGAGGTAGAGTCAGGGACGCAGAGGGCGGGGCTAAATTTTGCCTTGAAGTGAATGAGAGGGCAGGTTAGTTTACGCAGAGCACGACTGGTCCACCCACATGTCAATAACTGTATGGACACATATGTATACTTAACAGTCTCAAACTGGCATGCAAATAGGCATGCACACACACACACTCACGCACATAAGCAGTGCTTAATAAGCACACATCCAAACGAATACACAGTCACACACATTTCGTCTTATTTTTCCTATGAAGATAAATAAGGGGCTCTTCCTATAAGGGAAGAAAAGGGAAAATAAGCATGAAGACAATGACTTGACAAGAAGGAAGGAAGGGTGAGAGAGAAAGAAACAAATGGAGAAAAAGAGAGAGAAAGACAGAGAGGAAAAAGAGCAACAGAGGGAAAGAAAGAGCTGTTCTCTTTGTTAGAAATCTTTTAGAAAAGAGAGTGTCAAGTGAAGATTGTGTTCGTTTTTGTGTGATCAGCTGTGTTTATGTTTGCGTGCATAGAAACCAAGAGAGAACATCTAGGAGCAAGAGGGAGGATGAGGAGAGGAAACTGAGTAGAGAGAGCAAGAGAGAGAAGAAGAGAGGCTAGGTGCAGAACCTGGATAAAATTGGATAAAAAGACGGCTTTGGATACAACAAGAGATGGATAAAATGTGGAAAAAAAGAACTGAGTTGGAAAATGAAAAGGGGAAAGGGGGCAACATCCAGCATGACTACGAAACAACGTCCTAGGGTTGGAGGAAGAGAGAAATGGTAGGATAGAGGAAGAAAAGGAGAGAAAAGAGGGGGGTCGGGGTAAGGAGAGATCAAGATGCTACAATGTATTGTCTTTACCTTTTTGGTCCACTTCTACTCAAGCATAGGAAAAAAAGAGGGAGAGAAAGAAAGAAAAGTCAGAGGGTGAAAGAAGGGGAGTAAAGAGAAGCAAGCAAGAGAAAAGCAAGATAAAAAAGAAAGGAAGAAAACAGAAAGAAAGACAGACAGGAAGAGGAATAAGGTAAGACAGAAAGAAAATAGAGAGAAAGACAGAAAAACAGAAAGAGAGAGAGTTGCACAGATAAAGATTTTCGGAACTCATTCTCACCACAGACATTATTGTTCATGTTAAAGGAAGAAGAAGCACAAAAAAGCCCCAACATACCCCCCTTCCCTCTTCTTCCTCCTCCTCCTCTCCATCCCCACCCACCCCTTTCCCCTGCCCCACCTCCCCCGATCTCTCCTTCCCTCAATCAGGCTCCTGTGGAGAAAAAAGAGCAACTCCTGTGGTGTGAATCTGGAAAAGAAAACATACACGCATGCACGCAAGTGCATACGCTCACCCACGCACACACACGTGTGACATTTTGCGACAGTTTGCGAATGCCCTACAGCTTTTTTTCCCTCTCTGTACTCTCTCCATCCACCTCTCGTTTTGTCATTCAAAAAACATGCACACACGCTCCCTGAGAAAAAAAAAGCAGGCTTTTCTATCCATCAGTCTCTCAGGGAAACAGTCAACATCAAAAGTCGCAAAAATCAAAAGTCAACTCCTACACAAGCCAACCCAAAATGTGTCTTGACATAATAAGGTTAAACCTTAGTGCACTAGTGCGTGTATGTGTGCGTGTGTGTGTTTTGTATGTACACAGTGAACGTGTTTATATGTACATATTTTAGTATATTAATGGAGTACTCACTGTAAGGGACACATTCATATTGGATCTCCAAGTACTTGTACGTTCCTGGGCATGGATCTGGGAAGACGTCCACCCCGGCAACCACCACACATTGAGTCCTGTTGTTACATCTGGATGGATGGATGGATGGATGGATGGATGGATGGATGGATGGATGG